TGCATCAAAAAATGGGTTACATGTATGCCAGTAACCTGAAGTTGAGTCATAACAAAATTAAGGCACTTTTCTCATCCAAGAAAATTGTGTATATCTCATTTTTGAATCGACATACTCCAAAAGTAGCTGAATGGCTTTAAAAAAATTGATAAATTATAATTCATTTGATTAGCTCTGGATAGAAAGCCTATCTGAAATTCTTTCAGAACTGATGGAATACACTCCCACTATGAAAAAAAACAACCAACCACCGAGCTGAAACTTTGAAAGAACTTCTACAAAAGCCAGATGTATAATACAATTTTAAGGCAATCAGGGCATGGATATAAGAATTTCAGCTTATCAGTTCACTTCTGAGTGTAATTTAGGATGTTGATCTTACTCAAATACTCCTTACTGTATTCACTATGTGTATCTGCAGAAAGGAAGCCTTCTTCTATATAGTTGTACATACAATGGCTTCCTTACAAGCCAGGAGATTTCATTTTTAAGAATATGACTCATTTAGGAACTAACAATTATATGCACAGTGATTTTTCTGCTTAAAGACATCTGCACTAATGTCTCCATTAGTTTGATCTTATGTGAGTCGCATCATTGGATATGCTGCTTTTCTGGTTCACATGTTTAAGGGCTCAAAATCATATAGCACCTAAACAGGATTAGAATTCTTGGAGATTTTAATATTGCAACGTAACACCAAATCAGATTTAATCTTCAGTTTAAAAATATTTAGAGTTAATTTGAATGTGAACAAATGACAAATGCTACAATTTTTTCCTGAATTATACTACTTCAGACTGTGCTAATATTTTTTTTTCCCTTTTGAGGCTTCTATTGGGGTGAGGGCTAAACCCTCTGTTTTTGAAAAGCTGGAGTTGTGAAGGAAAATAGTATTGCGGTTGTGATGATACCAAAGTAGTTGTACCTGGTCTGTATGTGGTTGCTGGTAACCACCCCATCAATTTTAATCATATTCTCTATCTTTACTACCATCTGGAGACATTTGCATTGTTTTCTACTATTGAAAATTTCTTTAATAATGTGCATACATGTACACACACACACACACACACACACACACACACACAGAGAGAGAGAGAGAGAGAGAGAGAGAGAGAGAGAGAGAGAGAGAGAGAGAGAGAGAGAATGAATGAACTAGATGTGTAGGATATGTTTGAAATATGTGGACTGAGACTGGGGAAAGCACAGGCTTACCACTGTTAGCCCCTGATAGGTTGCCATGAATCTGGGGGAAGACTGAATAAATGAGGTAGGAGAACTTTTGTTTCAGAAAATGGGTGTTTCTGTAGAAATGGGCAAAATGTCAACAGGAATTTATACTGTTATTGGTTTTCCATGTCATCAGGTTCTTATTTCTCTGTACAAGTCAATGAACAGTGTGTAAAATCATCCAATATGAATTATAGGCCATGTTGAAGGATGTTTTCTAATCTGTAACACTTTCATATCTCTCCAGCATCTTCCCAGACATTCTGGGAAAGAGCAATCAATTTCTAGCAAATGAGTGCAATCCTATGGTCAGTCCAGAACACTCTGTTTTCTTTAGGATGTGGTTTTGTTTTGTTTTGAGACTGATTTGTATTTGTCTGAACATCATCTAAGCAGGATTCTAATTTATCTTTTTCAATACTGAATGTATTCATTTCAATACAGTTTAAATGGGGGAGGCTGCTCCTTTAATAAAGTTTTTTTTCCTCTTAATAAATTTTCCCAAAGGGAAAAGGTCTGCATCTCCTAGCTGTTAATGCTTCTATACCACAGAACCCAGAGACAGCACAGTTATTATTATTATTTTTATTTTTATCTTTTAATCAACAGAAAGGCAAATTGGACATGAGAATCCTATCTTGCATACATGCTAGAGTTAGGTGAGGTCACCTTTTGATGGAATTAGGATTGTTTTTTTTAAAAAAAATAATATTTATTTATTTATTTATTTATTTATTTGAATAATGTATGGCTTCCCCTCTCACAGCAGTGATTCTGGGCAGGATACTCAATAATTAAAAACAACCAATGGGGCCCTGGTAAATGACATCTGCCCATCATAAAATTCACATCAATAATAGGACAGTACTACTTTCCTGGTCCAAAGGTCCATAGGGTTCTTTGGAGGAATACAGTTCCACAAGGCTGTCATAGAGAAAACTAACTTCTGAGTCCAACCTGATAACATTGTTTAATAGAGGAAACTTGCCCTTGGAACATGCTAAATTTTGTATGTCAGGCAGAAACAGTGGGATAAAGGTGGTCCCACAAACAACCTGGCCCTCTGCCATATGAAAACCCAAACAGCTTCTCCACCTTGTTCTCCACCTCCACCTCCAGGCTTCCACCTTGCATGCCTCAGCAAGTGGGATAAATGGACATCAAATGGCAGCTTGAAATCAATACATTTATTTAAAGCTTCTTTTTTAATTAATTCATTTATTTAAATTTATAAGCTTCTAAACTCCAATGTTTTTCTGTTTTTTGCATGGCGCACAGGAAAAGATACATAACTTGGGTAGATAGACAGGCAATTATTTTTCTAGATCTTTCCCTCCCCCTGTTTTTTTTTTTTTTTTTTTTCAGCAGAGAAATAAAGACTTGCACAAAGAAAAGTTTCTTTTCTTTCTAGCTTCTGGGTCAACTGGATAGCTAGGTCAAAGTTAGAGGCAGAGCTCTCCTGTCTGCTGTTGAAGAATGAAAACACTTCTCTGCTGGCAAGGCAGACATCACAATCAAAATTTATTTTAAAGTGTGTATATCAAATGCAATCAAACTTTTAGTTCCATCTGTAAGCATACATAGCAGCCAATATTGCTGAGCTGACAAGCGTTGCCATCAAAATATATGAGAAACTTCAACCATGTTAATCTGATAGTTGAGGAAAAAATTTTTTTCTCATAAATTCTTTTATATAACCTTTATAATATTCTTTCTGTATAAGAGTCATTTTAGTCAGCTACCTTTATTATGCAAAATATTCTGTGCTCATAGAGGGGGGAGGGGCAACTCTTTTTCTATAAAACATACAAGATGGCCTGAAAAGTAAGCAAACTAGCTTCATTGTTCATTTCTAGACCGGAATATAAAGACTATGGTAGATATGATGTTTGTTTCAGGTGAAGTTACATAAATCTTGTCAGCTCACTAGCAACGTTTAAAAGGGTATCTGATAAAATTGTCCTTGAGTGAACCACATATGTGATAATGTTGACTTCGAAACACCATTGAGCACACTGGCAATCTGAACATATGATTAATTTTCTGCATTGTACCATAACTCTGGCCGTGACTAATGATATCAGGCAAGAAGGAAAGCGAGTCCATAGGTTATAAATGGAGAAGTCATTTTCCATGTTCTTAACTCTCCATCTGATGTAGGAAGTAGTTTTTACCTTTGGGCCAAGGAAATGCATGACCATAGGACAGTTCTCCCTAGATGTTTTTGCAATATTTCAAAGAAATCCTGCACTATAATACAGAGGGGTCGGGGAGGGAGGGGGAGAGAGAGAGAGAAAGGGAGAGAGAATTATATATTATGACATATTAGCACAACATAAAGTTGATACTTAGGCACATGAAAGCCCCATGTACTTTTTATCTGTATCTCAGACAGTCTATTCGGTGTGGACTTCCAGCACTTCAGTCCCCATCAATGATGTAGCTTGATTTCCAAAGCACAACAAAGTCAGCAAGTTTATCTATTTATAATAAGAACTGGATGCAAGTATTGAATGCTTCTTTAAATCCTGATCTTTATGTCCTACAGCTAGTATATTTTTTTTAAAAAAAAAACCTACTTTATTATACCTGCACTTAGGTATACTAAAAAAGTAAACTTGACATCTAGGAAGTGAGACCTTTCCCACTTTGTTAGTGGTATTGTTTTGTAGCACCATGATTCTAGAGCTCCCAAATTATATAAAACCACAGAAACCACAGGATATAACCCACAGGAAACTGATTATTAAAAAGCCAAATTGTGAAAGAAATGATCAATGATAATTGTCTTGTCAAAGATTTATAAATTGTGCAGTGTGTTTTGAACTTTGCTGCATGATTTATAAATCATATTGCCTTTTCCAATGATTTTCATAGAAATGTGGATTTTCTATTTCTCCCTCCCCTTTTCTTTATACCTCAAACTGCTCAGACAAGCATAATTGTGAACCAGGAGCATAGCCATGAATGACCCAAATAGCAACAGCACTTAGACTTATATACCACTTCATAGTGCTTTACAGCTCTCTCTTGGCGGTTTACACAGTCAGCATATTGTCCCCTCCCCCCAACAATCTGGGTCCTCACTTTACCGACCTCGGAAGGAAGGAAGGCTGAGTCAACCTTGAGCCGGTCAGAATCAAACTGCTGGCAGTTATCAGAATTAGCCTGCAATACTACATTCTAATCACTGCACCACCACAACGTGATGTTGAAGTCATACATAAATTGTTCAAAAACCAAAATTATCACAACCATAATATCATTAGTTCAAAGTTAAGAAACACCAAGGAAAACATAATATTTAGAATTCACTACTTAATCATGTGTTTAGGGGGCTTCTCTTCAAAGTGTTCCCCCCTCAACATATCATATTACGTATATCTCAATATCAGTGTTTCTGAATATATTATTTGTATTATATGCAGATTATCTCTGTTATGTTTGCAGCATCTCAAATCTACTAAGCAAGTCATTTCACAGACTTGGAGTAAGCATGTTCCCTAAATCTTAAGACCTAATTCCAGCTTTCTTTCTGTTGGAATTCATTAAAATTATTATTGGATCATTCAGCTAGGTGGAAAAAAATAGGCAAATAACAATGTAGCAAGTTTCCAGCCATGGATTGAAGATTGCATTACATGAATTGATAAAAAAATAATTAAATGAATGGTTAAATAGGTGGAAATTAATGCCGGCTGTCCTTTAATGTTCTTATGGAATTACAGTATAAATGAAAGAGCTCCTATTTGCTTTGTATTTTACAGATAGTCAGGGCCTGGATCTGGAAATCTCCAAGGCAAACACCTTTGGATTCATTGGATGCATGTCTTCTGTACAGTATAACCATATTGCTCCACTGAAAGCTGCCTTAAGACATCCCAACCTAGCACCAGTGACAGTCCTGGGTTCATTGTCTGAATCAAACTGCAGGTCATTGGTTGAAGTAGATGAAAATACAGCAACTTCAATTTACTCTTCCTCAGGTATGTTCAGCACATTGTACAGGTAACTTGTTTAGTAATATTTCTTATTCGATGCTTAGTTTAATAGTAGATGATGGAAATATGGTATGTATAAAAATGGAACATGCTTTGATTTTTATAGATTAACAAGTTGTTTTATTCAAGAGATTCTAGGCAATATGCAAATAAGATGCAATATGGTATCTTAATTATGCTGACTACATCATTCCCATTCACCTCCCTGTTTCTACAAATAATAATAATAATTAGAATAGAGCTGGAAGGGACCTTGGAGGTCTTCTAGTCCAACACTCTGCTCAAGCAGGAGTCCTTATATAATTTCAGACAAGTGGCTGTCCAGTCTCTTCTTAAAAACCTCGAATGATGAAGTAGCCATAACGTTTGAAGGCAAGCTGTTCCACTGGTTAATTATCCTCACTATTAGGAAGTTTCTCCTTAATTCCAGGTTGCTTTTCTCCTTGGTCAGTTTCCATCCGTTGTTTCTTGTCTTGCCTTCTGGTGCTTTGGAAAAAAAATGATCCCTCCTCCTTGGGGCAGTGTCTCAAATACTGGAATATTACTATCATGTCCCCCTGGTATCCTATTTTCTATATTTGTGATGTGATGTTCATTAATAGGATAAGCAACCAGCCATGTAATTACCCACAGCATTGTTTCCAATGTGTCTGGAAAGTTCTGTGCCTCTTTATATATATATATATATATATATATATATATATATATATATATATATATATATATAGGTCTTTGGTTGTTCGGGTTTTCTCCCGCGTAAAATTGGAAGTGTCTTGGCGACATTTCGACGAAGTCCCATTCGTCATCTTCAGGCTGGTGTTTTCAGCTTCGTGCTTTGAGCAGCAATTTTACACGGGAGAAAACCCGAACAACCAAAGACCTACATACAAATACCCGCGAAAACCTCAGAAAACATATATATATATATATATATATATATATATATATATATATATATATATATATATATATATAGTGAAGATATAAAATGAACACCAGGGTAATAAAAACTAAAAGTTTTTAATAAATTAAAACTATAAAAGTTTTAAAAAGCGCCAAGCTTTCGCCGTCACCTGCCGGCATCCTCAGGGCTGGCGCGCCAGAGAATGAGAAGGTCTTTTTATAGGCATGTCGAGGTCTGCGCCCGGCTCCTCGATCTTGTCATCGGGCCTAATTGGTTCAGCTGTGTGCAATTAACCTGTACTTCTTTTCTCTTTTTGGTTGCATTTTTATCTTCATCCGTCTCCAACTCTCCCAACTCCGAATTAGCTAGATGGCAATTCCAGTTATTTCGGTTGCCTTTATATTCTAACCTCCCCTCAGGCTCAGGTGGTAGTGCACATTCTACATTCCTTTCTCCACCATATCTTGTCCGGTTGTTACTTCTAGGATCGCGTTCATTTCCGGTCTCAATACTTTCGTTTTTAATGTGTCCGTCATCCTGATGATCTCGTAAATTGCCACGGGTCCGGTGCAGCATGGGGGGGTGTTCCGCAAGGTGGAGGGATCGTCTCTTGTCCGTTATCATGCCCAGCTGTCTTGCGCGTGTCCTACTCCGAGTACTCGGTCCAGGGGGTATGTGCACAGCGGTCAAGCCGCGTCCCTCCTGGTTGCAGCGCTCTTCCTCAGTTCTCCCCTTTTTTACGTTATTAAAAGCATTCGTGTGTATTCTATGTTTTTAATAAATTAAAACTTTTATAGTTTTAATTTATTAAAAACTTTTACAGTTTTTATTACCCTGGTGTTCATTTTATATCTTCACTATGAATATTCCCAGGGTTCATATTTTTAACCTTTTTAATCGTATATATATATATATATATATATATATATATATATATATATATATATATATATATATGGTACAAATAAAATACGAACACCAGGAGAGTATAAATATAAAAATATACTTTACTAAAAGCTGCCAAGCTTTCGTTTGGAAACTCCAAACATCATCAGGGCTAAGGAGCCAGTAAACAATGATGACTTAAATGGGTTTTGCCGGCATCTGCACCCGGCTCATGGACTGCATCACCGGTCCCGGCCGGTTAATTAGTGTTCCAGATGTTTCTTTATTACTCTCCTTGCGCTTCCTTCTATGGTTCTTCCGGATCATTCCTTCCACTATCTCATTACTAACATTCATCTCCTCCACCACCCCTTTAACCGGCCGGGACCGGTGACGCGGTCCATGAGCCAGGTGCAGATGCCGGCAAAACCCATTTAAGTCATCATTGTTTACTGGCTCCTTAGCCCTGATGATGTTTGGAGTTTCCAAACGAAAGCTTGACAGCTTTTAGTAAAGTATATTTTTATATTTATATTCTCCTGGTGTTCGTATTTTATTCGTACCATAGACATACCCAGGAGTCGTATTTTTATACAAATTTTCCAGCATATATATGTATGTATGTATGTATGTATGTATGTATGTATGTATATATGTATGTTATATCAAGCTGAGTTGAGTAGTAGCCAGAATTTCTGTGATCTGGATAGGGGATTGAGTGGAAGTGAGCTGCATGCAAAATAAACTGGATATTATTCGTAGTAATTTTTTTACAATGTATACAATACAATAACTGCACAAAATAACAACATTAGTAATATGCTGTAACAAATTATTGCCTATAATAATATTACCATTGTCTTTGATCTTATTTGTAGTTCTTTGATCTTATTTGTAGTTCTTTCTTTGCTAAAATAAGCAGGCCATGAAATCTTTACTTTTGAGTCAGTAAAGCTACATGAATAGAATTTAAACACTGGAGGTTGACATTGCACAAAAGATATTTATTTAGTAACATCGTACTTTCATCAGGGTTTAGTTGTGGAAAACAAAAAAGATACGATAGGCAAGTGGAAGAATTATTAAACACATTTAATTGAATTCCCAGACTATTTAAAATCTGGGTTTTGGTTGTTTTTTTTTTTTTCAAAAATCAGCTTGTCAGTAAAGAGAATGAATGATGTTCCATGGAAGTGTAGAAAAATGGGGAGTTAATAAGTAAGGGTGTGGTTTGCCTACAACAGTGGTCCTCAACCTTTCCAGCTTGGCAGAATGGCAGGGGGGAGGGGATGGTTCCGGTGGACAAGTGCGCACACGTGGAGCTCCACTTGCACAAGCTTGCGCAATTGGATCTTCGTGTGTGTGTGTGTGTGTGTGTGTGTGTGTGTGTGTGTGTTCCTGCCACTTCCAGGCCCTGTTCTGAACAGGCCATGTCCCATTATTAAGCTGTGGCCCAGGAGCTGGGCCCCCCTGGCCTACAAGAAACTGATCCATACAAGCCTGTTTCTGGTCTGTATCTCGTCATCTGATAGGTTCGGAGTAGTTATCTAGAAAGAGAGATTTTTAACATTTTTTTTAAAAAAAATAATCACTCAGTATAATGAATTAGTTGCTTGAACTTTATCACCTCAGATAATCAGGAAATGTGTAGGCTGGCAGAAGCTGTTGTGTTATGCTTGTCTCTTATCCTCTCTGGTTTTAAGGAGAGACACATTATACCCTGATGATGATCCAAGCAGTTCATTTCCTGCTTGTAATAATTAAATACTCCCTTGGGCATCTTAAGTGTTTATTTTGGAAAGGAGAGGACATTGTAAAGCTAGGGTTAGTATTACTATAAGTTGGAAATGTGCATACATACACATGCACATACCCACGTGGCTTTCAGATCATTTTTCACCAAAGGATATTGATTTCCCAGGCTTGGTACTAGTGTTGCTATGAAAGTCTATCATATTTTTGTGTTTTTATTGGTTTGGCTCTTTTTGTCCACACTGCCTCACCTTGTTTTATGTTTTGAACAGGTTTTATTTTATTTTATTTATTATTTTATTTTTATTCTAAGCTGTCCTGAGTCTTCTGGAGTAAAAGTGAGTGGCCATAATACATTAAAATGAAATATAATTTAGTATAAATTATACTAAAATTCATTTCAGTATAAAAGAACAATATGTTCGTCTCCTACCCCAAAAAGGCATTCTATATTATAAAACCTACTTCAGCTTAAAGAGTGAATTATATAATCCAACAAACTCTTGTTGCTTCCAGTAAACTGGAAGGATATGTCCTGAAATGATTCTGTTTCTCTTTCCTATTTAATTACAAATTCAGCATTATTGCCTTGTTTCTTTTGTTCTAAAACTGTTTGGATTCCTTCCAAATCACCATTTCATTTCATTCATTGCGTCTGAGATATTATGAAGAAAACACTAGAATCTGTTAACAAGAAATAGTAACAAATTATTATAAGCTCCTTGTGTTGAATGAGTTCCATGTGCTTTCTCCCTCTTTTGTAGTCACTAGATTGTCTTGTCATAGCTGTTAAAAGCAATTCTGACTAATGCAGATTGGCAGCACCTTAAGTGTTTTTTCCAGGAATGTGTTAAAAGATGTGGGTGAGCTCTTTCTCCATGCAAATCTATTCTTATTTGCTAGTGCTCTAGAGTAAATGTGAGCAACTATTGTCAATCAAAGGCCCATGAAATTTGTAATGACCTGCCAGGATATAAGATGTATAAACAAACAAATAAATAAACAAGCCTAAAAATAGGCTATCTTGACTTTATTTTGTTTTATCTCTGCCTTCCCCCCCCCCTCTCTCTCTCTGCTCTCTTTCATTCTGTGTGTATGTGTATAGGAGAGAAAGAGAGATAATTACACCAAATATGCTATTTGAAAGCAATTAATTCTTAACTTTTTGTGTTGATTTCTTAGCTAACATTCTTAGCTAACATTAATTTGTATTAATTGGGCAAATACTATTTGTTGCCAAATGTTTATTTAACTGACGTGTTTCTTCTGAATGAACTTTATTAAAAGTCTGGCTTATTTTTCTGTGGTCACTGGATTTGAAAGGCATCATTTTCTCCTGTGGCTCAGAATCTTAGTTTTTTCATTCTGGGTAAGTTGCAATGAAACTGATAGACTCTTCCCAAAAAAGTCTGAGGCAGTTGCTAATCCACAAAAAGTTACAGTCATGGTTGAGAAGCTTTTCAGATCAATAGAGGTACCGTGTGGAAAAATGCCAAAGATTGTGGCGAATCAGCAAAAATTGGGTGCTTCAACTTGCACTTTCTTTCGATCCCAAGCCACCTTTGTATGCTATGAATACATTTGGGGATATTTTGAAATGCATTACCATCATTATTTCTGTGTAATTCACTTGACTAATATGAGATAAGTTCCAGAGTGATGCGCCAAAGACACATGTATAGAAAAGTTAGGGTTTTTTATTTATTTATTTCTGTGCAAAATACAACCAGATTGTTGTTGTTATTGTTTGGGGGGGCGGGGGGGTTGAGAGGGGGGAATCTCTGCAGTGGAAAATATGCACTGGTCAGCATGTCTCCATCTCCTGATTCTGCAGAATGCAGAAGAGACTCAAAGTGGAATTTACTGCCAATGGGTTTTCATCTATCAATCTGAAATGAATTCTGTTTACTACTTATGCCTCTGGGTAAAAAGATATCCAGTTATTCATGCATACATCTCATTGCAAATACATAGTTTTCCTTCCATTTTTAATGTTACTTCCTCACTTAAAAAAAACACTTTCTAATATAAAATATAAAATTTAAATTCACTTCTACGTTAAAAAAAATAAATGATTAATTAAAAATAACCAGAAGGGAATATTTCTTAATTCTAATATTGTTTTATTAATTTAAGAATATATAATCAGAGGCCTCAGGCTTTTCAGTGACTCCCAGGAACTTTATAAGAATTGCCATAAGCTGTAGTTTCCTATGTGATGGAAAAGAAAAAATAAAGGGGAATAAGCAACTAAAATTTTATTTTACTTACATTTAACTATAATCATATCAACTAAGTTGTTTTATTTAATTTTAAATAAAATTAAATTTATGCAAGCCAGATGTAACAGTATGTAACAGTATGTTGGCTTGTTCAGATCAAAGATTCTAAGTTGCATAGAATTAGGTGAGCATGGTTTAATTAAAACAAGCTTTGGTTGTTCTTGTGACATACTGGCTGACATGTGTCCAAATTATCCTTACTGACAGCAGGGAATAATAAATGGATAATAGGTATAACTAAGGGTAGTATCCTCTATAACTTACTAAAAAACATGAAAGCTTTGATTGATCAAAGCCATGATGGGCAGAGAATGTCAATATCTATCAGCCCAGCTGGAGATCATCAGCTTATAGCAGAGTATAACTTGGTATATAAGACAGGTAAATGAGAGGGGGGGAGGGAGAGAGAGAGTGAGAAGGAGGGAGGGAGGGAGGGAGAGAGAGAGAGAGAGAGAGAATCATGCATTATGTTTCTTTATTGTTTAATATATGGATATGTTTATAGATGTCTGGAGGCTGTACTCACAGTCATTCATACGTTCCTCATATCCCAGTTGGAATAGTTCAATGCACTCTATCTGGAGTTACCCCTGAAAAATATTCAGAACTGTCAGCTGGTGCAAAATGCAGGAGTACAGACAGTTGTGGGTGCCTGTTGTTTAGCATATGTGACACCTCAGTTCTGTGAGCTGCATTGGTTGCCAGTTGGATTCCAGGTACAATTCAAAATTAGTACATATATGGTTGAAGAGTAGTTGATTAATTTTCTGTCAAGATCAGAGTGAATGAAATAAAACAAAATTTATTTTATTATCTTGGCTGCATCCACATGTTTTTGGAAGATGGCCTCTGGGATGTCTCTCAAAGGTCAAGTATGAGTTTCAGCCAGAAAAAAAGATTAGCACCTTAGTGGTATAAGCATTACCTTGGTTTTCCTTATGAATTACAGATCCATTTGGGAAGGCCGATGATAAAGAACCACTCAGCAATGGTGTCAGAAGCGATTCAGCCATCATTGGAGGTAAGTTGACCAAATCATGTTTTTTTTTTCAATCAAGAGCTGTGGTGGTGCAGTGGTTAGAATGCAGTATTGCAGATTAATTCTGCCATCTGCCAGCAGTTCAATCCTGACTGGTTCAACGTTGACTCAGCCTTTCATCCTTCCAAGGTCAGTAAAAAGAGGACCCAGATTGTTGCGGGCAACATGCTGACTCTATAAACCACTTAGAGAGGATTGTAAAGCACTATATTGTCTCAGTGCTATTGCTATTCCAATGCAGCTTGCCTTAGTGATTCTTCAACCCTCATTTTCTTTTAAGTGGCTATAACTACTAAAAGAACTTTCTCTTACATTTATCAATTGTCCAATATTTCTGATTTGAAGTTGTATGTAGGCAGGGTAGAGGAAAAATAATATTTCTAAATTTTTATAGGATTTCTTTTCTTTTCTTTTTGCTGTTTTAATCCTGCTGAAAGCCATGGAGAATGCAATTACATGTGCCACTCCCAGTGATTTCTTTATCCATCCACAATTTTATCTCTAGCAACATCAGAAATGTGAGCATGGAAAAGCAAAATATTATTGGCAGGATCTGTCCTTTTTATCTTAGTTTGCTTTTCCTCAGGAGGAATTCCTAACCATTGAAAATGGATTGTAACTAATTGCCAGCTAATGCAGTTGTCCTGTAACTGTTTCTATTGCTAATGTGGCCAGAGCTTTAGAAGATAGCTTAGATCGGTTTTGTGTTCTGCAGCATAGTTCCAAAAAGCATTTTGAAAGATGAGCACAATTTTCTGATTTTATTTGTGGCCACTCATCTTCTTTGTCTCATTGCACAGTTCAGTGAAGTAGTTTCAAAGTTTATGACCCATTGGACTTCACAATTAAGTAATATGAATTAGAGTACCAAAGAGAAAGTAATTGAATTAGTACTACATCCATTAAGGATTGACCATCCCAATCCAATTGAATGAATATCCAATTTCGGCCAGATTGACTTGAGACCATGAATGTTTTAACTCCCCTCAATAGTAATTATGATAATTGAAAATTCTTATCAATGGATAACTTCTATTTGTAGGCAGATTGGTACTTAGATGCCATGGAAACTTGGTAACAAAGTATATTCATTTAGGCTTCATCTGGGAGGAGAGGATTGGCTATTCCCAACATCATGTGAGCAGATTTCCACAATGGTTCTCCTCTCTTTCCTCCTGCATGAGTACCACCCTTACCTCTAGATGTCTCACCATCTACTGAAGACCTCAAAATCTCAAAAGTATATTTAGAAGCCATATGAGGGACTGCAGAATAGCTTGCCATTTTCCTAATCAATACTCACCAATGAAATAGCAGTGAAATCTTGCATAATAATAATTTGTGCATGAACAATGTTTGCTGGAGTAATTCAGCATGAAATATAGTGCAGCCAGGTTTGGCTGGTTCTCTGTTGAGATCAGGAAGAAGTTGAGGTTTAGTATAACAAACTTGTAGGATTATAGACAAAGTTCACTTTAAATGTAATATAATCAGAATAGAGCTGGAAGGAACCTTGGAGGTCTTCCAGTCCAGCCCCCTGCTCAAGCAGGAGTCCCTATATCATTTCAGACAAGTGGCCATCCAGTCTCTTCTTAAAAACGTTGAGTATAACACATTTGTATGACTATAGGCAAATTTCACTTCAATAGCAACAGTGAACTTCACAACAAAACGAAATCTATTCTGCTGAATAGGCCACTTACCTCACTCTGAATTTCTCTTTATGTTCATATTTTGTCTTTTGCACCTCAGGTGTTATTGCAGTTGTGATCTTCATCATCTTTTGCATTGTGGCCATTATGAGCAGAGTCCTCTATCGGCACAAACAGACTCATCGGAACAGCCAGACAAAGGAAAAAGAGTATCCAGAACACCTTGACCGTTCTTTTAAGACTGAGGTTGACTTACAGAACCCAGTGAGCGAATGCAAACGAGAATACTTTATCTAAAAGACTCCCTTGTTACACTTTGGCATTTCCATGATGATGATAGTAGTGGTGGTGGTGATGGTGTTTTTAATCCGTTACTTTGGAATTTCCCCACTCTTTGGAAAGAACTAATAGACACTGAAGATATAGGCAGAACTGCACTGTTCTCCATCCAAGGTCACCATAGATAACACCTAACTGCTCAAGCAAACATGTATTCTAACTTTGTTTGTCATTACATGCATGGTTGACTATTTAGTTTCTGGATTTCTGAAATGTTGCTTTCTGGACCATTTCATGTTGGACCTGAGTGATATATACTAGAGGTAAAGTGTGCAAGTTAATTATTTAGCATTACAGCTATTGCAACAAGGTAGTGTGAAAGAATAAGATCGAATTATCTCACTAAAACGTATTTAAGATGAGCCAAATCCTTTGTTCTGCAAATAGGCATAATTATATTTTGTGTCTGTGGTGCTCTGCTGAATTTGCAAACTAAGGATCTGGAACAACTTTTTATTTTATTTTATGTTCCTTTTGATCACTTCCTTTCCTTCAAGCTGAAACATTTGTCCAACACAAGGTCAGAGTTTGCAAAACCATATTACTTTCTGCAGAGAGAGCTGAGACCAATGGGATAAATCTGTCAAGTGCTTGCCCTCCTTGCATAACCCCTTTAGATTCTGGGTCAGTTTGGCTCAAGAATCACCTGGCACTCAAGGTGGGCTTGTGAAGACTCTGAGACACAGCCTGGCTTTTGTAAAAGACATGCCTCAATCACTCATGTCCTCCAGGATAGAAGAGCTTACAAGCCTTCAGTAGAATTGGCCTAAAGTTGGAGAAGACAGAAACATTTCCATTGGGCTTGAGGATCCAGCGATGCCTCTGGCTTTCCAAAATAATTTGTAAGTGTTCTTCATCTAAGGGTCACTTGGTTTTTTTCTTTGAAGGGATAATTTATGACTGGGCCAGAGGAGCCCTGTGAGGAGGGCCAAGGAGGCGGGAGATGTGTCATGTGCTCAGTGTTTCAGCAAATCCAGAGAGGCCCAAGCCTGCCCAATGAATGCATAACCCCTGAGCATCACCATTCCCATTAGTTTCTTGGGGAATGGCAACTTCCTCCTCCTTGTTGCGCCTCTCTGCTCTCCCTCTTGGGCAAAATCCAAAGGGCCTTGAAATGGGACTTAAGCAGTGCTCCTCTGTACCACCTTCAATGTAGGTGTGACTCGGGATGTGCAACCTGTCTGCGAGCCCTTCATGAAACCACATTTAAATAGGCCTTAAGGGACTTCAGGGACACAGACGACCAGCCTCTCTTTCAATTTTCTGAAGTGGCATAGGGTTTCTTGTCTGACTAGAAGATCTCCAAGGTCCCTTTCAACTTTATTATTATTATTATTATTATTATTATTATTATTACCATCATCATCATCATCACTCCTGGAGTGTAGCTAAAATTGCCCCACCCTGGAAACCCACATGTAAATTTTCACTTTTTTTTCTTTCCCTGTTAATTTTGATGTGGAACTTTTTGATTTGAAAATTGTCCTCCTCCCTCCCTCCCTCCCTCCCTCCCTTTATTTTTAATGTAGCATCTTGAATGAGGAGAGTTCCTCAAGTATTCAGTCTAGGGAAACAGTTCCACCACATTTCTGATGGTGTTTATAGCTGAATAAAATCAACATTTTTTTTTTCAGAAATGGTACTTCCCATGATAGAAAGAACCAAAACATCAGGGAGGATGGGTTTTGTGACATTTACTTAAGTAACAAACCTGGCAGTTTTTCCATTTCAACAGAATGATTAATGGGAATGATCAGATACAGAGAGAGAGAGAGAGAGAGAGAGAGAGAGAGAGAATTCCCATATTATGCTGTGGCAGTGTTTTGATAAAGTCAATGTAATTTTGCAATAATGAATGTTGCCACTACTTTCAGCAATGATTGTGGTAGGGAGTCTGACTCATGCAGGGTATGGATTTGCTGTCCCAATTTAAAGCCTTGGTTATAATTTCTCTATTGTGGTAAATCACCCATTGAAAAAGAAAAGAAAATTGCATGCACAGACAAACATTCTCCAACAACCTTCTCCACTTTTATGGAAGAAAACATGGTCCTATGGAAAGGAGGATCCCCTTCCTCCCCCCATGCATTATAGAAAAAAGATTGTTCAATCAAAAGTCCATCTTATAAAGTTAGATGCAATCAATAATTTTTACTGGATCGTGAAGCAATAGCTGAGCCAGAGGCATTAGCCCCTTCAATTCATAGACACTTTAGCAGCTTCTTAGGTATTAGGACATTGTGTAATCTCTCACATAATAAATGGCTTAGTGATGCTGCTAAGAAATGACATTTGCACTTAATTTAGATGCAAACATTAAAGGTGGTGGGACCAAGCACTAGATATATAAATATAAACAAAATCTCCACAGTTTAAATGCCAAGGCTTACCCCTGCAAATATGTTTTGAAAAAATGTGAATTTCCTAAAGAACACATTATTATCAAAACCATCTTGTCTCTTTTTAATAATATGTAACTTAATTTCCGAGATGAGATCCACACATTTTAAAATTGCCAAGGTTGAGAAATACTATTCTAGATCATTGTCTAGATTCCTTTTTGGTTCGTATTTATATCTATTTCATTTTGAATCTTCTACCAAGGATTGGATTGACTGACTGACTGACTTTATTTAAAATCTTATGCCTCCCATCTCCTCTACAAGGTGACTCTGGGTTGCTTATGATCCCTGATGCCAGAGATTTGCAATTCTTTTGCAGCCAAGAATCATCTTTGGCCTGAGAATGAATTGATCCAGAAAAAATATTAAATTTAGCTTAATTATAATGTCAGTTTCAAGTGAGACTGTTAGTACAATTCTTTTTGGTATATTTAATGTTTTTTTTTTTTCTGCCATATTAGAAAATGCAGTTGGACCCCCAAAACTTGAGAAGCCTTGCTGAAGGCTCTGGAAAGCCACATCAATCCTGGATTTCCAGGTTGTACATTCCCAGTTTAAACTAAGTCTGCAATCAGACTTTGTGTGCTGAACTGTATGTGTCTGTGTGCTGATTGTCTAGTTTGGCAAAGAAATACATGTTTATTCACGATATCCCATATAGTACCCAGTCCCTCTCATCTGTGCAATATTTGTATCAGCATAGTACTGGACTTTGTACAAAGATTTTATATGACTATTAAGTTTTGTTTTATTTAGTTCTGTTTTTTTTCTCTTTGTTTGCTTCCCACCCCCACCCAAGACAGGTTATGAAGCAGAAACTAGATTTTCGGGTTGAATTTGTTTTTGTTTGATTGATTTTTATAGCTGCCCATCTCAACAAACAACTCTAGGCATCTCACAATTCAGAAAAGAATTGATAATAATTCTTTCTCCAAAGCATAGAAATTCTGTAATTTAGTGGGATGTAATGATAAAAATAGCAAAAATGTCAGAGATGATTTTTTGGCTATTCTCGATCATTCTCAGTCATCAAAATTCTCCTGCTTTTATTTTAGTTTTGAAGTGCAATTCAAAGCATCTGTTTTCTTCAATAGAAATTACACTTCTCTGAGTTCTGTTAGGTGATTCTTCTGTTGGGCTCATTAAAGAAATGCAAACAGCTAGAGAGGCTGCAGAACAATAGGGAAATGTGTGATAGTCGGGAAGACAAAAGGGGAAAAGTGCCTTCAGCTATCTCCCATTTTAAGTAACCTTAACGCATGATAGGAAGAGACAACTGTATTTCATTCAGTTGCAAAGAGTCAATTGAATGAAAAGCATAGAAAAATCATGGCTAATATGGTGCACTGCATCACCTGCTTTTCTTAGGTGAAGATCTGATATAGAACTGGAATTTAAATTTCCCATCCCATCTTGACAGGTGATCCAGGAAGATATGGAGAATCTCTTATCTGAAGATAGATTTATAATCTTTGAGTTTGTTGTCTTGCTAGTGAATTTACTCACTGCTATTACTGAATCTTTCTATCTGGAAAGAGAATCTCTCATCCAGCTCTCAACTGCAGTTTGATGCTTTAGGACAGGGCTGTCAAACGCGCAATGTCACGTGACATGTCGCGGCATATCACGACTTTTTTGCCATTGCCAGCAATGGGGTGGGCGCAGTTTCGCTATGATGCATCCGGCTCGCAGGCCGGCAGTTTGACACCCTTGCTTTAGGATGAAGAAATCTTTCTCCTTCCAGGTTGTTGCTTCATTTTGGGTGATGTCAGCAGCATTTCAGCCTGTAATTAACATTCTTATTTGTTATCCAATTGAACATGGATGGCTCAAGAATTCTGGGAATTGAAGTCCACAAGTCATAAAAAAGCCACAGTTGCCTACCCCTGGTCTATCCTGATAAGCCACCTGGAATTTAACAAGTGATTCTGGGCAGCAAATAATCTTTCAAAACAATTCCAGTCGTCAACAATAGGCAGTCATCAACTTACATCCAAAATTGGAACTAGAATTTCCATTGCTAAACAAGGCCGTTGTTGAGTGAATCATACAAAATTTTATGATCTTTTGGCCACAGATGTGAAGCGTATCACTGCAGTTGTTTACATGAATCATGCCATTGTTAAAGTGACTTCAGCTTTCCCCCATTCCTGCCCCTCTGTTGTTCCACAGTAGCAAATATCCATTTAAACAGAAAATTTTCAGATGTTTCTCCAAAAGTCAGGATAAAAAGATCAAAACTTGCCTCGATAGTAAAGGTATTCCATACAGTTGATGCTATAACCCAAGGGTCTTCAAACATGGCCCTTTTATGACTTGTGGACTTCAATTCCCAGAATTCCTCAGCCAGAGTGCCTGGCTGAGGAAATCTGGCAGTTGAAGTCCACAAGTCATAAAAAGGCCAAGTTTGAAGACCCCTGCTAAAACCCAAAAGACTTGTCATCTTGTCTTCCCTCATTTCGCACAGGAGCAGCAACTTGAGCAGGGTCTCTCTCTTGATCTAACAAGAAAACTCAGACATTTTGAACAAGGCAGTTCCTAAGATATCCTAGTGCTACACCATATAGAGCTTTTAAAGTCATCTAAGTGAGTGGCCAAAGCAGATCTAGTACTAATCAATGCCACAACTTAATTACTTCCTTTTGTTTTAAATCTTTTAATCATCTCCATTGGATCCCCCAAAGTATACCTAACAAATGTAGACTTATTTCTCTGGCACCACCGTCTTATCCATACAGTGAACTCTGTCTACTAGGCCTGGATAGAACAAAATAGACTACCTTAGCAGTTCTGGGACTTGCCTACAATTAGAAAGGCTATTGGCCTCCTCTTCTAGGAGAGACCAACAACCCATCCCAATGCTTTTGATGCAACATGGAGCACAACTGTTCTGTCCCCTTCCCCACCAGCCCTATCAAGCAGCCTATCTATAAAGTGTCTGATATCTTCCATCTTTACACTAAGTAAACAAATTACCAGGTGATTTACATGATACCACAAACCCATTTGCCTGTGTTTTTAATGATTAAACCACTCACAACTAAAAACTCTCCATCAGCCAGAGGAGTTCCATGGTATGAGAAGATATAGGTCTATCACCCAATGATTGGGATCCATCTATGATGACTTTTCCCTTAACCTTAAAGTTCTGTCTTTCTTCTTCAAGCCTCTTTTTCCCTAGCAGAAGACAACTATTATCCTGGCAGATCTCATGTATTCTATATGTTTCTCTGCCTTTGTTTATACATCTCCAATTCAGCCACTGAGTTTCAAGGGAATGGGCTTGCTTCCCAAAGGCCAAAAACTCATTGCCCCCAGAACAAACCCATAACTTATGTCCAACAGCCAAATGATTGATATTGGAGTCTGGATCCAATAAACTGGATAACACACCCTCCCTTTCTAATTTTCTAGTTTTGTGCAACTTACTGTTTTTTACTATTCTTTTTTAAGGAACTGTTGAATTTGAAGACTGATTCCTATGTTAGACTTCTATAGAACTTGACGCACTGGCTTCATTACCCAGTAGCTAAACTCCCCTTGCTCATCAGTCTCCAGAAATCATCCCCCGTAGAATTCCTTCACAAGCCTTCCCTGCTCCCCTATTAGCTAGTTTTGTTCATGAGCTCCCATCTGTTTCTCCTGTTTCCAAAAGGTGCTGACAGGGTCTGCATAAAACTGATGGCAATTTTCTGGAAAGAAGGAGAAAAGCAGTAGAAGGAAGGTATGTTTGAAAATCATTGTTTCCTCTAAAGCAGGGGTTCTCAACCTTGGCAACTTTAAGACTTGTGAACTTCAACTCCCAGAATTCCTCAGCCAGCAAAGCTGGCTGAGGAATTCTGGGAGTTAAAGTCCACAAGTCTTAAAGTTGCCAAGGTTGAGAACCCCTGCTTTAGAGGATCTGTAGATAAGATGCTTTCTACCCAAAGCTTAATTGTCCTCAACCACTTCTATGTATAGAATTCACTGAAGAATACTATCTCATGTAACCTTCAACAACCAGCAGACCCTGTCCTTCCATTTGCTTAATATTTGATAACGAGGAGCTTTCCTAATGTAATTTGTAGCTATGGTGATACTTAGTAGATGTATGTCTGTATTTCCAGCTTCTCTTGCCCATACAGATAAATAAATAGCATTTCTTCAGGTTAAATTCTGAATTATGGCTAATGGCAGGGGTGGAGTGAGATAAGGGAAGAAGAACAAGGGAGAAGCCCAAAGAGTTCCAGGTATTAATTAGTTCTTTCTCTTTTTAAGGATTGCACATTTTTCCTCATTATTTTGACAGTCCTTTGGTCAGGTCATTTTATTTTATATGATTTCACTAACAGGGAACCATTCATTCGTGGCTCATTTAATTGCATTCTGAAAAGAGGAAGGAGAAAGAAGTAGAATTCACATTTTTATTCTAATAACTTTTCCTCCTATAAATTATTGTGCCATATTTTCCCCTTATTCAACACAGCTGTTATAAATCACCCGTTTGCTCTGCTGCACATTCTTTTTTTTTCCCTTGATAGAAAAGTCCATTGAAAATGTACCAAATTTAGCCCCAAGCTGAATCTCTAATGAGATCAAAAGAGAAGTTCTGGACAATAAACCAGAGTTGGATTCTGAATCCTTATATATGCACACTAGCAGATACACACATGCATATAGATCACACCAGCAGACAGACAAACACACAACTCACACACTTATATACAGGTACAGACATTCTATCTCGCTTCATTGGTCACACAGAGTTTATATTACAAAATGAATCTCTAGTTTCTAGCTCAGAAGCATTTCAAGTTCTCTTCTGCAGAAATTGGTCTACTGTATCTAGTCTGGGGAACTATTTGTTTGTTTATACCCTGCTTTTATTATTTTTATAAAAATCTCAAGACAGTGAATACACATAGTAGGCTCTGCAAATATTCATTTTGGGGTTCACTGCAAGCATTCTAATGCATGAATAAAAACATTGGGGACAGAGTTTGCCCCTGTGGTACAGTCGCATTGAAGGAGAATTTACAAGGGCCGAAAAAGCATGCAAGTACTTTTTTAATCCAAACTTTGAATCCTTAAGTGACTTACCTTTCTGAACACACAGATCTAACGCAATCCTTTCAGCTTCTAAGGCAGAGAGAGACTTTATACTCACCAATTTAGAGAGTCCATTAAACCTTACTGAGCTTGCTGTCCTATTTTCTTATCTTAATTTGTTAACTACACAATGTTGCATTGTATGCTGTTAATTGGAGGCTTTCTTGCATAGGAAAGACACTATGTGTCCTACATAATACACTGTGCATTAAATAGAAGCAGTTTAATTAGACCCATTGAAATCAATAGAATGAAATTAGCATAAATCTTAAAACCTTGAATTTCATTCCTATCTCATTAAAAGGCATTATATTACTTGTTTTCTGGCTTTGATGTATCATCTTGGCACTTACTAAGCTTACACAAGCAATCTAAAGGATTTAGGTAGTTAATATGAAATATATCCTATCAGGAAGAATTTGATTGCTAGTGTCATCAAAAGACTTATATCTGCCGTATGCCTTTGTACGTCAGAATAATACTTTAGTCCATTTGAAGCATAATGGTTTTATTTGCAATTTCTCCCAAAACAAATTAGATTTTAATGGAAAAGAGAACAATATTATTTAATATAATTTATTGTTATATTCAATCAAGCTGAAATATTAGCTACAAAATTATATGGATGATTTTTTTCTATTTTTGTCCAAAGGAAGAATATCCCCAAGTAAATTTTCACTTAAAACAGACACATTGATAAACTGATGGCATGAAGGCTTTTTTTCTAATTGTTCTCCCTCTTTTGAATTCCAATTCAGTTCAGTTAACAGAAGAGCTGTGAAAAAGTCCTTCCATCTATAGAAGAATATTGTTGGATAGAACTATTTATTTCAGAACATAAACACATTAACATGGACTCATCAGATTCCTCATTCTTAGCGGGAGGGGAATGGAAGCAAAAATGCCACTATTTGAGTCATAACATTTATCCAAGTCCCATTTTATTATTTGGCTTGGTTTCCATTGCCATTCCAGATGAGTTCTTGGATGCATCGTTTTATAACTTTTCACTATTTTTTTAAAACAAATTTTATTGTTTTTTTATTTCTTAAAACAAAGTATTCAGGACACACTGTGGTGCTGGGATAATCAAACATCCTAGAACAAAACATATATACATAGTACAATCAATACACAAATAATCCCTCTCTTTTTCCCTCAAATAGCATAGTGTATTTAAAATATCCAATTCTAGCTTAAATTTATTCAACCTGAATCTGTTTTTAACCTTTATAAATTTACAATACCGTAATCAAATTAATTTTAAATAAAGATATTTTCAATTCAGCTATCCCTTCCAAATATGTTCTACTTTCTTAATTTTATCAAAATCTTGTTTATTTCTTCTTCCACTAATCTCCCCTGTTTAAAGTAAAATATTAATCTATCCTATACCTATCTAATCCATCAATTAATCAATCTCTGTAAGCTAACAAGATAATATCAGACCTTAAATCATTACAATCCATTAAACAGAATTCAAATCTCATCCAGTTAATTATCATAACTGATAATACCCATATCATCAAAAAGTCACATCATCTTATTAAATTTCAATTAATTAATAATTCAATTCAAATCTAAAACATCTCTTCAATTTTGTTCATTCCATTACCTAATAATTTTCATACAAATGAACTTAACATTCTAAAAAAAACATTCTTAATATTCTAGATTACTTTTAATCCATTATATAAAAATATCTCATTTTTAAACAAAAATATTAATCTATCCTAGACATATCTAAATGTATATATCTATCTATTCTATACATGTCTAATCCATCAGTTAATCAATCTCTTTAAGGTGACAGAATAGTATCAGACCTTAAATCATTTCAATCGATTGAGCAGGATTCAAATTTCATCCAGTTAGTTATCATAGTTAAACATCCATGTTATAAAACAAACAAGTCATCTTATTTAATTAACATTCAATTAATTATTAATTTAATCCAAATCTAAAACATCTCTTTACTTCAAACTCATAATTTTAATCCTTACATCAGTCCATAGTTCTAGGTTGCCTTTAATCCAATATATGAAATTTTAAAGTTCATTTTTCAATCTTATTCTAGGTTTCCTCTTATGCCAGGCAGGTTTCCATAGCAAAGCTTCCCTTCCAGGTGATGAATCTCTTTTTATTGCTTGTAGTGTCATTTGATTTGATGGAAACCATCTTGGTCTCTGCATTAGCCCTCTGTTTCTCTAGTAGGCTCTGCAAATATTCATTTTGGGGTTCACTGCAAGCATTCTAATGCATGAATAAAAACATTGGGGACAGAGTTTGCCCCTGTGATACAGTTGCATTGAAGGAGAATTTACAAGGGCTGAAAAAGCATGCAAGTACTTTTTTAATCCAAACTTTGAATTCTTAAGTGACTTACCTTACCTCTGCATTGGCCCTCTGTTTCTCTTGTCCATAAAGCCTCATTGCTTGAGAAGTTCAAAAATCAGTCTTTGCTTTTCCTGTTCTTGCTTATAGGGCAAGGTAAAATTCTCTTTATTCTCAGTAAAGTCCTCTTCTTGTATAATCTGTTTTGTAGAGTAGTCAAGTGTAATGTGAGAGTTAGTTTTAAGGTTTAAAGTAGGAGTTCTGGCTCTTAATTCTGTAATAAACTCTTTTATTGTAGTACATATTTCTTCTTTAGCCTCAGAGACCTTTTCCAGTATAAGTCTACAGTTTAAATGTGATTGAAGCTTCTCCATTTTAGTAATAGTTGAAGAAAAATCCTTTTTTCTTTTTCTTTTTTTTTTTCTTTTTTAGTGAAGGCTACAATTGAACATTATCCACCCCCACAGATCACACAGCTGGCTCAAATTATCTTTTCTCTTGATAAATAGTTTGAAGGCCAAAACCATCTCATCTCCAAATAGCCAACAATTCCAATATTAACTTTTGACCAGTAGATGTCCTCAGTAAGCTAAAAAGACTTCTTCAAATGCCATTTTTTCCTTTTTTCTATTTTTTAAAGGAAGAATGGAAAAAGAAATACTCTACCAATAAAATACCGCTCCAAAAAAACCCAACAATTTTTTCTGTACTTCAATGTGAAAAGAGATATATAATCTTTGAAAAAGTTTTAATCTGTCCTTTTATAAAATCCCTTTCTTCCCACGCATACAAAAGCCGCTTTTTTCAGACAGGGAAGTAATTCCAACGAAGCTTTTACAGGCAAAAACAACATAGGTTGAAGAGAGGAACAAAAGGGGTTTCACCAGATCATCCACGGTGGGTCTGTTACACTTAGATGTCATGACTTTCGGCTGGTGCAGCAGGTTGGTCGGCCATCTTGCAGGCCGATCTTTACTCTGTCGACCCTGAGGAGATAGCTGGAGACAAGGGGGAAGCTGCTGCCCTCCCCTATCTACCAGCAAGCCTGCTCAGTGGTCACCCCTCTGGGGCGACTTTCGACACCCTAGGGGGTCTACCGGCGAAGGAAACCCCGGACGGCGCGGAGACGAGTCTGCAGGCGTGACCGGCATCGCCGGGTTCCGGAACCGGAAGTCACTTTTCACTAATTTATTAATGTGATCATAAATACAACTTCAGTTTGTATTTTTAAGATGATTTTTCAACTTGGGAGTAATATTTTTCACTGTTGTTGTTTGAGTCACATCACCTCATCATGCCACTTGCTTTCCCAGCATGACTATTGAAGTGAACAAAGATTGCACACTTCTGGCTTATATCATCTGTCCTGAGCAATTCCATTGATTTATCATTATTAGTATAGTTAGTACTAGTGGTGGCCTTGTGTGTGTGTGTGTGTGTGTGTGTGTGTGTGTGTGTGTGTGTGTGTGTGAAAATCAGACTTTTCAGGAAAAAGACTTGTCTATAAAAATAATATGCTAAAATAAAATACTGAAAAAGACCAAGAAAGGAGCAGACTAAACTTATAATTAAAGAGAGTCTCATAAAGACTCCCTCTGATCAATACCCATCCTTTGAAGAGAACACAACATGTAGGAAATGTCAGGTAGGCAGGATCCCAGACATCTAGGCTTTTACATTTAAATTCCTTGAATTAATCTGGAAGTCTATAGGGACCCAGGGAAACTTTGCCAGAGGTGGTGACACATATGCCCCATGGGAAATTCCCAACAAAAACCAGGCTGCTGAATTTTGGATGTCCTGTAATTTCAAAATCTCTTTCAATGATATCCCCATTTAAAGGACAATACTGTGGTCTGTTCAATACTTATTCAGAAGTAAGAGCTGTGATCCAAATTAGCTGTTTATACTCAAGACTATTGACTCAAGATGGATTATTGATGAGATAGTGGGCCAGGTATTAAATCAAATAGTTTCTGATTCAAGTTATTTCTCTCAACTCCTTTGTTTTTTCTGGTTTCTTGATACTTTCTTTTTGCTAATGTTCTTTGACAATTGTTGCTAAAAAGCTCTCCTTACAGGCTTGCATAAATCATATTTTATCATATGCAATCCAAGAAAAATGTTATTTGGTCATCTTCTTTGCTATTTTAATTATAAAAATGACAGTTCACCAGGGAGCATCAAGAAGCAAAAACCACAATATATGTTTTGTTGACTCTGCTAAAGTTGTGTGGGCACAGAGTTGTACAGAGTTGTAATTTCTGGAGAGTGACATCAATGGTCCATATTTTTATTAGCAAACTTAGTGACATACTAAGAATAAAAAATCAAAAGAGAAAAACCTAAAAGAGAAATTTTCTAGAAAGTTAGTTACAATAGTCAGTAGAGGGGGAACACATACATGTCCAAAGAAGAAATTTTAAAATAGTAAAGCTACCCAAAATCTCCTCTCATCAGTTCTTAAAGATGGAATTCAAATTCTCTAGAGTTTGGCTCTAAATCTGGGCATGTCCATAAGAGATGGATGCAAAGACCCTTTTGTCATCAATCAACTACTTTTATGCCAGAAAAAAATAAATAAACATGTTTTCCATGTCTGAAAATTGGCTTTAACTAATGTCTTATATATTGAGTAATTGTTTCATAAATATATATATATATTGATGCAGAAAGTTGAGGCAGAATATTAATATTATTTAATGGAAGTGAAATGAAGAGATTTTTGGTGCGGCAAAGGTAGTACATTTTACTATCAGTTAATTAACAGAACATCAGAAATCAATTGTTGTATCTGGTGTGTGAATTTAGACTGAGATGCAGGATGTACCGCATGGGAAGTCCCCAGTTTCCCTTGAGACACCAGGCTTCATTAACATCTAGCCATTTAGAGAAAATGAACTGTCACATCCTGTTTAAATTCCATTACTTTTTTTAGTTCCTTTCCCCAGTTCTGTGACTTATCATCTAAATAAAACTGCAACATTTATTATAAACCAGAACAAGGACCACAAGGGCTGAATAACTTCCATCTTTTTTTTTGTTCATTGTGAAAAAGAAGTGTTGACACTGGATTATTTCAAACTTTTGCTAAATGTATTTTTTTTATTAAATAATGTAGTAAAGCAGAAAATTAAATCAAAGAGGAGAACACGAGTGAAAAGAGTTGGATAATTGCTGTAATTTGTATATCACCTATTGGATCTTTTGAACTGTTCCAATTCTAAAAGAAAAAGAAAGCAAGGGTATATATTTTGGATTGCTGTTTTACCACATGTTAGTTGGATAAAGAGCTATGTCATGAAGTAATATGATTATATTGTGATCCTATGAATTCTTACATGATAATGAATCCTAGTGGAACCAATGGCATTTATGGTACCATTCTGGTGCCTTTCTGGGGGGAAATACTGTATTTGATTATTTAATTTAAACTTATATTTTAGGACATGAAAAATGCATTGAATGCAGAATGGCACCTACCTTATCCAACTACAGTAGAAAAGTATTTTGTGGCAACTGTACAAAGAAGAATGCATAACACAGGAGCCAATATTTCCTTGCAATATTTCCGTACACATGCACACACAAAATGCATTTGGAATAATATTGTTTTACGTTATTGTGGCAAGAGTTAGAGGTTGGTGTCTGCTTTATTTTTTAAGAAAATAAAATATGTGATCACTTTGTTTTATTGAAGGAATTGGTTGAAATGCTCTTGGCAATGCTTTCTTCCTTTGGAGATACCCCAGGTCTACAATGACAAGTTAATATCCATAAATGTGTTACCAATCTTCACATGTTTCTCTCTTTCTATCACCGAGGTAATTCTTATTGCTATGTGTACTGAGAGTAGGATAATTTCTGAGATTTTTTTTTCTTTTTGG